TAGACACATGCAAGCATAAGCACCCTAGCGTGGACAAATTCACTCCAGCACCCCCTGCACACCCTTACTCAGCCCTTGCAGCCCCTGTACCCCCTGGTACTCTCATAGGCTCACACACCCACAGGGACTCCTAGGCTCCTCAGAAAAACTTCCCTCGGACTTTTCCTTGTCCCTCCATTGGGCGGCTCAGGTCTTCTGCAGTCTCAGTCAGGACCTCTTCACCTCTCATCTTCTAAGAACTCATGATGTGTCTCGTGATCACCAAACTCCATCAGCCTGACCCATTGTTTGGGTTTATACGCTGTGTGTTTCTAAGTTGAGCAAAGGACTAACTTCTCTGGACTCTATAAAATGAGAATAACAGTGCGCTCATGCACCTTCCTTGGGTTATTATGTGGCTTAAAAAAAAAAAAAAAAAAGTCCAATGCTGACTGGGGACGTAGAGGCAGGAGGACCAGGAGTTCAAGGTCATCCTCAGCTACATAGGAAATTCAAGGCTACCCTGGGCTACAGGAGCCTCTGTCTTTAAAAGAGAGAAAGAGAGACTTAAAAGAAGATGTTCATAGCCAAGTAGTGGTAGCTCACACCTTTAATCCCAGCAGAGGGTTGGGAGGCAGAGGCAGGTAGATCTCTATGAGTTCGAGGCCAGCCTGGTCTACAGAGTGAGTTCCAGGACAGCCAGTGCTACACAGAGAAACCCTGTCTTTAAAAAACAAGTAGGAGGAAGAGGAGGAGGGGGTGGAGGAGGAGGAGGAGGAGGAAGTTGTTGAGGTTGGAGAGGTGGCTATGCAAACATGAGGACCTGAATTCAGACTCATGAGAAAAGCTGGGCTTGGCCATGCAGATGCCTACTAGCCCAGCTCTGTGGGCATCTGACATGGTAGGATCACGGGAGCTCACTGGCCACCAGCCTAGCTCTAGGATCAGTGAGAGACCCTGTCTCAAAGGAATAAGACAGAATGGTAGAGCAGGGCATTCAACATCCTCCTCTACCTTCCACATCCTTGTGTGTGCATACGTCTGTCTCTCTGTCTCTGTCTCTGTCTCTGTCTCTCTCTCTCACACACACACCAAATTAAGTTCATTGCTAAAGTAGAAGAGTGTCTGGTGTGTAATAAGAGTGCAACAAGTGTTGGCTGTGGTCTCTTGCCCATTCCCTCCCACACCCTTGCCTCAGCCATACAGACTCTTCAAGCTCCCTACGCCTGCACAGAAGCTCCATGCTTCCGGGCATTCTCTCCCTAGACCGTCACTCCCCCACTCGCTCCTCTCACTATCCATCTGGAGAGCACCTATTGCCTTGGAACCCCTTCTCAGGTGGCTCTGCCTTCAGGAAGCCTTTCTTGCCACCGTCCTCCACCCCCAAAACCAGAGGAACTTGTTCCTGACTCACCTCCCTCCCCCCACTCCACCCTCTCTCCCCACACCCTGCCCCCCCCTCCCCACAATTGTCTCTTTCCTTGGATAAGGAGCACAGCTGGGATATGGGCCACATAGAGTTTGCATCTTGACGCTTGCACTCTGGACACCCATCGCAGTAAGCATCAGCGATCTGTGAAAGAGCAAATGATGCTGATCACAGTATAAATGAGAATGCTCACACAACTGATTGTTAGCATCTCAGCAGTGCCAGGGCCGAGAGCATAAACAGTAATCATACACTACCAACGGCTGCTGACTGCTGAATGGGAACTCCAGGCAGGCTGGGATTAAGGGCTCTCGGTGCAGTCCGGCTATGGTGGAGATGTGCCTGTCACCTGGGGCAATGAATGTGTGAAGCATCACTTGCTTTGGATAGCACACTGTGCAGCAGCCAATCAGAAGAGATCAATCCACATATGACAACACAGGGGATCTAAAAATCACAGTGCTGAGGAAGAAAAGTATAAACCAGGCAGACGTGGGACATAATGTTAGCTCTTCAAAGACACCCCCCCCCACACACACACACACACACACACCCGTGCAGCTTTTATAGAGACAAAATGCATCTGCATGATTGGGGTTTTTAAATTTCTTTTCATTTTGTATGTATGGATATTTTTGCCTGAATGTAGCCTGTGCACCACACATGCGCATTGCATGTGGAGGCCAGAAGAGGGTGTCTGATACCCTGGGCCTAAAAGTTACAGATGTTTGTGAACTGTCATACATGGGTGCTGGGAATTGAACCTAGGTATTTGGAAGCAGCCAGTGTTTTTAATTCTTAATCTCTCCAGTCCCTTTTTTTTGGGGGGGGGGGTCTTTTGGAGGGGGCATCAGATTCTCATGAACACTTGAGTCATAACCCAGGCTAGCCTATAACTCACCAGCCAAGGAAAACCTTCCCTCTTGCTGCTCTTGCCTCTACCTCCCAAGTACTGAGATTACAGGCGTGTACCACAATGCCGGGGCTCAGACATGCATTTCTCCTCCTCCTCCTCTTCCTTCTTCTTTGGTTTTTCGAGATATGGTTTCTCTGTATAGTTTTGGTGCCTGTCCTAGAACTTGCTCAATAGACCAGGCTGGCCTCGAACTCACAGAGATCCACCTGGCTCTGCCTCCCGAGTGCTGGGATTAAAGGTGTGCGCCACCACTGCCCGGCCAGACATACACTTCTTAAGGACCTATTTAGTAACACAGTAGAGTGAGAAAAGGAGAATGGGATGGAAATAAGAAGCTGAGAAGCAAATGACCAGTAGGAGGAATGTGAGACAACTCTGTGCACCTGATATCAAACAAACACACAAAAACAATCCGATCTATGGACACAATCATTCTGACCTCTTTTCCAGCTGAGGATATCAGCTACTTATGCAGTCTCTCTTTGCTGTAGACCTTGGCTTCATTGCATCTGGTCAGCATTGCTGCTGATAGTTCTCTTTAGTGCAGGGAAAAGCTGAGCTTGCTCGGTGTGTGCCACCCTGTCAAATCACATGCACGCCCAGAATCATTCAAGAGGGCCCCACCTGGCCACATTCCCACAAGCTCCACGGCAGCCCCCGAGACTGAAGGAGTGGACAAAGAAGGGAAGAGGGGAGAGGAACTAGAGGGAACTAGGCCAGAGGAGGATAGCAAGTTCCAGGTCAACCTAACTTATAATCCATGACCCTGTCTCAAATAGGAAAAAAAAAAAATTTTTTTTTAAAAGGAGGAGTTGCAGAGAACATTCAGGAACTCACTCTGACCCTATCTATCATTGCTAAGCCCAAGCTGGGGCAGCGGCAAGGCCGGAGGGGCTGGGAGCAGTCCTCCTGAACCCATCCACCCCGAGCTGCTCTGCGGAGGAGTGCTTTCTCTTATCTGGAGGCAGCAGAGACTGTCATTAGATCTTGAATTCTCAAGATAGCAGAACCTTGGGGACCCAAGAACCTACTAAGTGCCATATGACTGCTCCAGGAAAGGTTCTGGCTTGACCTTTGTGTCACAGCAACAAGAAGGACAACAGTACACACTAACATGATACTTCGTACAGGGTACTTAGTGCAACCTAACATGCTCCTTTGTATGGGGTACTTAGTACAAGCTAACATGATACTTTGTATGGGGGTACTTAGTGCACACTAACATGATACTTTGTACAGGGTACTTGGGGCACACTAACATGATACTTTGTATGGGGGTACTTAGTGCACACTAACATGATACTTTGTATGGGTTACTTAGTGCATACTAACATGATACCTTGTATGGGGGTACTTAGTCCACACTAACATGATACCTTGTATGGGGGTACTTAGTGCACACTAACATGATACTTTGTATGGGTACTTATTGCAACCTAACAGGATACTTCGTACCAGGTCCTTTATCCCTGCAATCTCTTTAACCCTCATATCAGGAGAGCATGCTAAGGACATCACCATTTTGCTGGAAAGGGAGCAGAAGCTGAAGAAGTTAGAGATTTTCTCAAAGTTACCCCATGCCTGATAGTAGCAATAACCATCCACCCTCTGGACATCTGCTCTATGCTAGCCCTCCTTAGTCACCTTGTACCTTGTCTCGTCCATGCCTCACGGCAGGCAGCCCATGAGCAGCATAGCCCCTTGCAGATGACCCAGGATGCAGCTGTGCAGTGGAGTACAGCACACCCTGAAAAGGAGGTTCAGTGGTCTGACTTGAGTTTACTTGCTTTGCCCCAGGGCCATGCCGTCTTTTGCAAAGCAGAACCAGGGTATGGATGCCAGAAAAACCTGCCACGTGGGATGGGGCAGCTCTATCCCCTGACACTAGGTGAGCCTGGTTTCCTGCCAGCCAAATGGGAGTCTCTTGAGAATAAAGTTGAGGATATTCAGGACATGCAGGGCCAGTCACTGGCTCTGCTGGGCTCCATGGTCCGTCCAGACCTTCTGAAAAAAAAAATCTCTAAGCCTAGGCTGATGGGAGAGGCTGTCACCCTCCCCCTTTCCCAGCCAGAGCTGTGTGAGTTAATCCCGGGGAGAAGACACATTAGTCTGGGAGAATTGGTCCCAGCCTGCTCTGCTGAGTCAGCAGGAAGTGCAGCCCTTGCTCCAGCAGCTACGTGAGCCCCTGCACGCCACCAGCCACCAGCCTCTCTGCCACCCCAGTGCAGGGCCCCACCATTGACATGCCTCACATGCCTCTCTGCTGCCTACGTCCTTCCAACAGCACCCTCCCGCGTGAGCAGCCCTCTCCGTCTGGGTTCCCAGGCCCAGATCTCTTTCTCATCACCATCCCCCCAAACCCTGGCCCCCAGAAAACAGACATCTCTCCTGTACTGAGAAGGAATGTGCACGTGGGAAGCTGGGCTCAGGAAAGGTGCTGAGATGTCCCCACAGTCTGTGTACCACCAGCTTAGCAGGGGAGCTGTGGTCAGCTCATGGTCACCACCACTCTGAGTACTCACCCCCATCCTAGTGCCCGTCTCGTCTCCACCCTCCCTGTTACTGTCTCTATTCCCAACACCACAATAGCAAGTTCACCGTCGGCACAGCCACCCCACGCCACTTCCACTTCACTGATGCCATTCCGTTCATTTTCTGTTGCTGTCCTGGTATATCTGAGACAGGTAACTTACGAAACTGCAAGTTTATGTGGGTCCAGTTCTGGAGGCCAGCAAGTCCAAGAACAAGGCACTGATGTCTGCTGGCGTCTAGGGAGAACTTCCTGCATCATGGCGCTGCAAGGCTCGTGGCTGGCAAGGTCTGGGGCAGAGGCTCGTCATGACGTAACTCAGGCTGCTCCCAAACTCACTAGGTGGCCGAAGTTAGACTCGAATCCATGATCCTCCTGCCTCCACATCCTAACTGCCCAGGTTACAGGGGTGCATCCCTAGGCCCTGCAGACCCCTTCCTTTTCATAAAAGCTGCCATGACACCCTGGGGCTGCACTCTCCCAACACCGTTTAATCCCACTCACCTCCCAAAGGCCCCAACTCCAAATTCCACTGATTTTTCCCCCCAGGATTTAGTCCCCAACACATGAACTTTTGGGAGGACATGCCCAAGACACTGAAGTCACAAACTAAGGCAAGCAAGCGTCACCAACACCATCCAAAACATTGTCACCAGCTCTGCCACCATCGTGTCTGTGAAAGCAGAGTGCCACTAAGAACATTTGAATCAACAGCATCTCCATCTTCTCCCCAAAGCGACCGGTGTCATTTCAGCACCCAAATGTGACCTTTGAACACCAGCCCACCGCTGCTCTTCCCACTGTCACCAGCACCGACGTCATTGTACACACTTCTATCACCATCATCACCACTGTTACACACCACCCATCATCACCACCACTGTTACACCACCCACCATCATCACCACCACTGTTACACACCACCCACCACCATCACCACTGTTACACACCACCCACCACCATCACCACCACTGTTACACACCACCCACCATCATCACCGCCACTGTACCAACACGAGACTTGCATCCCCACAAGCCACTGCCACCAGCCACTGAGTTGCCAGAACTGCAAACAACACCGGCATGGCTGTCACCATCACATACCAACCATTTGAGAGACCTGTCCTTTCCTGTGCCCATTTCCCTGCAGAACAGAAAACAGTGGTTGGGTAAATGCAAGGTTCTTCCTGTTGTCCTGGCTCTATAATGGCATGCCCTCTTGCTTCCTATTAATGGCTCCCTCAGAACAGACACAATTGTTCCACTAAATTGGTCCACTAAGTGATTCACTGGGGAACAGCCATGCACGCCTGGAAAACACAGGAGTGGTTTGGGGAGCCACCTCCCCCTGCTTGTGAATCAAGAAGCTAGGCTCTCGATGCTGCAGACCCTCCTGCCTCCCACCATACATCCTGGGCCATGGTAGATTTATCTGTCCCTCCAGTGTATGCTTGCCTTTGCTCCCCAAACTTGAAGTTCCTCTAGAACAGAACTATTCACGAAAAGAGCATCGTCTGGGAGCCAAAGTCCTGGACCCCAGCCTTGCTTCCACACTAACCTCAGTGTGGCCTTGGGAAACACTTCTCTCCACCACCCAGGCCAGAGGAATAGCATCTAACTCTGGTACTATTCAGATTTTTGGGAACTGAGACATTTCCCAACAGGTCTGAGCCCTTTTCTCCAGAAGGTTCTTTTGAGTGGGAAGACCAAGAAATATCAGGTGTGCTTGGCTTCCATGCCACGAGCCCTGACCCTGCCAAGAAGAGCTGCGTGAACTCAGAGCTGCTATCATCATCCAGGCACAATGGAGTCTCAAGGGTTAAGCCAGCCAGGGTTTCTTTCTGAGCAACTATCTCAGATGAAAGGTCGCTCCAGAGAACGCCATGTGGCTGTTGTGGTTGGCAGGTCAGGGGCAGTGGGACCAGGCTAGGTCCCGAAGGAAACCCCCTCCTGGTCGCACCAGAACAAAGTGGTGTTTTGCAAAAATGCCATTGTTCTTGCCTAAGTCTTTCCCATCTCAACATAAACCAGGAAGCAGGGCTTCCTTTCTTGGGCGAGACCCTAATGTCCCCCACCAGTGGGGGTGGAGGGAGAGCGGTTTTTCTTAGCTTGAGTGGTCTGCCACAAAGCTCCATCTGGAGAGCAGAGGCCTCTACCTGGCTAGAACCAAAGCTCCCAATGCTGGTGTGTGTGTGTGTGTGTGTGTGTGTGTGTGTGTGTGTGTGTGTGTGTGTGTGTCCGTCTGTCCATCCATTCATCCGTCCGTCCACTTAACATCCCATAAGGCAAACAGATCACAGTCTCCAAGGAAAGAAAACCATTTCCTTCACACTCACATCAGGACAGTCTCAGATTTGAGCATCCACATAATCCATTTTTCGAAACGGGAAACTGAGGCGTCGCTCCTGGCAAGTTCTGACAGGGGCCCAGGCCTGGTGAGTACCAACAGGGGAAGAGCTGAGCTTGCTGCCAGTGTCCCAGCACTGAACAAGCCCCGTCACCTAGTTTCCGAGCCAAGGCACAGCCCTGCTCTGAACCTCTCCACATACAAGACTCAGCACATCCAGGCTCCCGTGATCAGCACATCCTGGGATTCACCCAGGCCATTCTGTCGCTTCCTGGGATCAGAATCACTGAACATCCAAGGAGAGAAATCTCCTCCAGGGGCTTCTGCCCAGCTGAGGAGGGCAGAGCTGCTACCTCACCACCTCAGCCCAGCACGCCCCTACTGCAAGTGTCTTAGTCCCAACCCACAAACACTGGGGAGGCGAACACAGTCTGGGCCATCTGTCATAATCTGAAGGAACCAGAGGTCAGCTTTCTTCCCTTCAAACAAGTTTATGTAAATGTAGCGTGAAGGAGCAAGTAATAATGTTTCCTTATATGACTCCAAACAATTAAAGCAAAAACTAAACTTTCAAAAGTTGTCAGTATACCCAATTTTGTTTCTATGTTTTCTTTTTTTTTTTGGTGGGGGAGAGGCAGTTTGAGACAGAGTTTCTCTGTGTAGCTCTGGCTGTCCTGGAACTCACTCTATAGACCAGGCTGGCCTGGAACTCAAGAGATCCACCTGCCTCTGCCTCCCATCACCTAGCCTTATAGCTTTTTCTTAAACAGAAGGGTCATTTGCCTCAATATGAATGGATGAAGAGATAGATGAAGAGTAAGACGCCTCCTCTTGGCGCCTATTGAGACGACTAATGAGCCAGTGTCCCCAGCACAAGCAGGTGTCTAACTAACGCCAGATTCCTGGGAAAGCACCAAATGGCCATCAGATGAGACACTGTCACTTTCTAGGCAAGGACTATTTGAACATTGTGCCATTAACAAATGTCCTCCAATTTGTAGGATGAAGGTAAAGTACGGTTTCAGAATTGTTGTATTTTCTTTGTTGTTGTTGTTGTTTGTTTGTTTTTTGAGACAGGGTTTCTCTGTGTAGCCCTAACTGTCCTGTAACGCACTCTGTAGACCAGGCTGGCCTTGAAGTCACAGAGAGTCATTCACCTGCCTCTGCCTCCCGAGTGCTAGGATTAAAGGCGTGCACCATAACCACCTGGCCAAGGCCAGATCTACAGAGTGAGTTACAGAATAGCCAAGGCTACACAGAGAAACCCTGTCTCAGAGGGGAAAAAAAAATGAATTGTTTTCTTGGAGACTGGAGAGGTGTGAAGACTGTAGTTAAGAGCACTTACTGCTCTTACAGAGAACCCAGGTTCAGTTCCCAGCAGGCACGTGGTCATTCATCAACCATCTGTTACGCTAGTCCCTGGGGACTCAGCGATCTCTTCTGGTCTGTACTGGCATACACACAACACAGCACAAATACATACATGCAAGCAAAACAGCCATACACATAAAATGAAAATGAACACAACTTTAAAAAAAAAAAAAATGTTTTCTTGGACTGGAGAGAGGGCTCGGCAGTTAAGAGCTCTTACTTTTCTTGCAGAAGACCCAAGTTTGGTTCCCAGCACCCACTTCAGGTGCTGTACAGACACAAGCATTATACATACACATAACAAAAAAGACAAAACATTTTTTTCTTTTGTGAAAATTGTTTCCTTGAAGCTCAGGAGAAGGGTCCTTGCATAGTATGGGTCGAGGCCCTGGATTCGATCCCCAGCATGGAAAATAACAACATTTTCTGAGGTGGTTGTAACTTCAGGGAAGAGCTAGACTGGGACGGTTGGATCTGGGGTTTTTGTTTAGTTGGTTGGTTGGTTTTTGTGGGGGATTTTGTTGGTCTGTTTTGTGTTGTTTTGTGTTGGGTTTTGCCCCTTCTTTTTTGATTTTTCCAGACAGGGTTTCACTGTGTAGCCCTGACAGTTCTGGAACTCACTCTGTAGACCAGGCTGGTCTCAAACTAACAGAGATCTGCTTGTCTCTGCCACCTGAGTGCTGGGATTAAAATCATGTGCTACCACCACCTGGCAAGGGTTTTGCCCATTCTTTACAAAATAATTTATACTTCTAGGTAGAACACCTAGAAAGTAAAGGAAGTAGAGATGGGGAATGGCCTGGTCACCCAGTGCAGCTGACTCAAACTCTGCTTCCAGAAGAGAGAGGCCCCAGGAGGGGTGGGGTTGCCTTGTTTGTTTTTCCTAGTTCCTTTGTTTACCTCTTGTGTGGTTCAGTGGGGTTGACCAAGGAATGCCTACCAGGGGATTTTGCGCCTCAAAGCAAGGACAAGATAAGAAGCAGATGAAATTCCAACCAAAGAAATCAAGATAAGGAGCTAAAGGGATTTAAACCAGGCGACCAGGACCCTAACTCCCAGCCCCAGAATTGCCTCAGAAAATCCTAAACAATGGACAATGCCCATGGAATTTCTCACCTTAGAAAGGTGAGCCAGACTCCACTTGCTTAATTGAACCCTAGAACAAGAGGGGGCCTGCAACCCTTAAATTCCCATAAAGCCGTGCCTTGACCTGGGCAGCAATTCTGAGCTCAGAATCACAAACTCAAATGTGTAGATTCTTCCAAAGAAAATGAAACCTGATGGTGCATCTCTTCACGCTCTGCTGATGAGAAATGCCAGGTCTGTTATTGTTGGGACTCTCTGCTCTAGGAATGTAAGAATCTGGAAGCCCTTTGGCTCCTCACTACTCAAAGTGTGGTCAAAGGATGAGAAGCTTCGAGTCTCCTTGGGATCTTGCTAGAAATATAGATCTGGGCTGCAATTCCCAGGTAACCGGTGAATATTTTAATGTTGGAGAAACACTGTAGACTTTAAATCCCCAATGCCACCTCCCTCCAAAGCTAACAGCACCACTGACTTCAAAGAGAGAATCAAAGGACCCTGGGGGTCTGTGGTTGGGCCCATCTCCTTGAAGGGACCAGACTTTCTGGGATCTTTCCATTTCTTCTCAAGACCTACCCACCCAACCTAACTCGTTCCTCCCTTCTGTTTCTCCCAACTCAATCCCCCCAATAAAGCCAAGTCTTCCATTAACACAAACCTGAAAAACTAGCTGTCTGCTGAAGACTTGATCAGCAACCCTGTCCACCACCACTCCAGGCAGAGCCCGGAGGCGCCACTCTGCTTGGAATGAAGGGCCAAGACACCTGCACAAAACAACATCCCAATCCATTATCTCACACACTGGCCATTCTTTAACTCTTTCTCTCGATTACACCTAGATTTAAGTGCAAAACAAAGGCTTAGGCTGTCATTCTAATGGGTTTGTTTTTTAAAGGGAAAAAGTGACCTTGTGAGTCCTAGATTGCTTCTGAGAGTCACGAGACTTTAATGAGTTAGTTTAGGGATTAAGAAAAATATTTGCCATCCACA